CTTCTAATGTATCTGCGACAGCAGCCTGAATGGGGGTAATATGCAACACAAGCCTTAAAAACATCTATGCCTACTGCCTGGTCTCGAGTTCAAAGAACGTTTCAACTTGATCTGTGATGCCAACAAGTCCATTTGGGGAACACCTTAAATGTTCGTGACCATCCGGAAGACATCTGCATGAAGAGATCAATCTACAAGGCAATTGTGGGAACCTTGTTAAAGGAGAACTATGGGGTTAAGGCTTTTCCCCATAGTTCTCCTTAGGGTAACGGGAGGACACATACTGAGACGCCGCAGTATACCGCGAGCTGCTGCTCGCTGTATACTGAGACGCCGCAGCTGAAGCGGATCCCGACAATTGTGCCGGGATCCGCCCAGCTGCGTGACTGACAGCTGGCTCTGCCTATCTAGAGGCAGAGCCAGCTGTACCCGCCCCCTCCCCCGTCCATTCCGCCAGTCTCATGAACTATGAAGCACTCACTTCATAGTTCTCCTTTAAATGGGCTGCAGAAAAGAACTCTGCCCAAGAAGTATCACTTCTGCCACTGACTGAAGAAAAGGCCATTTGGTGCCCCTTGCCAGTTGATGTAAGCCACTGTAGTGGCATTGTCCAATAAAACCACGAGGACTTTTGTCAGGTGAGAATGAATCCTCCACCAACATATACTGCATTTGATTTGAAGAGGTATCCTTAACACAGTGTCCAGACAATTTTGAAAAAAATCCCATTTTGTCAGCAGCAATGCCTGCAGTGGTCCCTGATGAAAAGTAGCGCAGTATACTGCAAGGATACAAAAAGTTAAGAGGCTAAGTGAAGACATAATCATTCTGATTGCCACTGGGTCATTCGCCTTAAACTGACTTAGAACAGTGTTGACCTTTTGGATCTTGCCCTCTGGCAAAAACAAATCTTTTGAGTCTGGAAATGAATAGAGTATTCCAGGAAGAGGACAGTTTGTAATGGTATAAGGCATGATTTTTCTGCATTGATCAGCCATACCAGACTTCCCAGCCATTTCTTCTTTGTCTTGAGATTCAACTGCAGTTTCTTTTGAGACTTAGCCACCAGAAGAAGGTCGTCTAGATACGGTATAATCCCGATCTGACATAAGCAGATGAGGACTCTGTGCTTCTCCTAACACCACTGAGAAGATCATTGGTGCTGGGGGAGATAGGAACTGGAAATTTTTGATCTCCTCCTCAACAGTGACATGGAGAACTGCATTTCTTGAATCTACAGTCACCGTGAAACAACGTTTCTGAAGAATTAATCTCACCGAATAATGCTTCCAAAATCATTTGTACCATGTGGAGCTGTTTAGGGGCTTAGGTTCTGGATTAACATGAATTCCCCTGAGGTTTTCTTGACAATGAAGACATGAGAATAGAAACCATTGAAAGTGTAAATGGAATAATAACATTCGGTTTTAACAGCTCTCCAAGAAGACATTGTGCTCTTGGTTTTTCTGGGTTCCTTGGGAGATTCATCACTAGCAACCTTGCAGGGGGAAGGTTATGTTCCACAAGCACCATAATAAATTGATTGAAGGTCACTTGTTTCCATTGTGGGAGAAAACCTCTAAACCTTCCTCCTGCAAGGTATAAGACAGTCATTGGGATTTGGTGGGCTGGTCAGGAGGGTTAAATAGGAGCCTCACCTTACCCTTTCCCTTCCAGCCTGACCAATGTTTCATAAGTTTTATTTCCTTGGATAAATCTTGGGACTGTGTTCTTTGGACACGAAAGAAGTGCTTGTTAAAGGGTTTTTCCTCTTAACCGGGAATGTCTTTTTCTTGCTTTTAAATTGTCGCCTATGGGAAATTTGGGGTATTGAAGTTTTTTGCGGCTTCACGGGCGAACGCAATTTAAGGATTGACATGTTTGGTATCTATTTAGCCGTCGTGACCCCATATTTTATATTTTACCAAACAATGTAGGTGTTATATTCTATTTCTGTGCACTAAATTTAATTTTAGTGCATTTTACCCCTAAAATACTGGTTTGATAAACATTTGTGCAAATACAGAGCAACTTGAAGTGTATCGAGAAATTAAATAAACTTAGTACCAATGTGTGTTATTCTATTGAAAACCTGGTTTCTATGTAGGGCTGCAACAACTAATCGACATAATCGATTATAATCGATTATTGAAAAAGTTGTCTTTCTATGTATGCTTTTTAATCTATATACTCATGAGCAGCCATATATTCTTAAAGAATTGCCGCCTGTTGACCATCATATCTCACTGAGATGTCTTAGAACAAAAAATATAGATTCAATATTCAGTCTCTAACGATAATAAAAATCTACAATGTACCAGGTTGGCAAGACCATGCTAGATTTGGCAAGGCTGTAAATTAACTGATGGAACTCAAAGCAACATTAGTTATACAAGGCAAAGAAAAAGGTACTTTTTTTTAAGCAAATATATGTTATTGTACATATACAGTATATTATAGGCATGTTGTTTGTCAATCCTGACATGTGCCCTGTAGAGGTTTCCTGTGAAGTGTGGTATATAATGATCATAGAACAGTATGATGCCATTTTTGGGGGGAAATTCTGTGATAATCCTGACATCTGCTGGAGACATGTAATAGTGCAATGATAGTTCCCAGGCATTTATTGTCAATGAAATGCAATTTTGAACAGATAGTTCTCCAATAAACCTTTGTTACTAGCAAAATCCAATGTTACTATGCAAAAACAAACACACACACACTTTATTTAAAATCACTTACAGTCTCAACTGTATTTTCCCAAAAAAAAACAAACTGGAAACGTATGCACATTTAATTTGGTCATTTTATTAGTACTTAGTACTACAATCATCATTCGGGACAAAAGGTATTTTTCCATATAAAGCATGTTACTACAGTTCAGTGTAATGCATGGCTTTTAAAGATTCCAAAACATATTGACTAAATCTGTGCAATATTACAGACATATATTTAAATTGATTAATTCATTCTGAATCATTATTCAGTTCTTTTATAAACTGCAGCTTTTAAAAAGAGTCACTACACCTTAAGTGCGCAATATCGTAAACTGGCACATTTTGTTAGAACTGTCTTCCTGGCTACCCTTGGGCAACCCAGTGGCACACAGATAGCCAAGCCCTTAAGGGCCCATTTACACACACCTTTCCATTCTTGTACATTGCATTTATACAAATGCATTATTGTTTAATGTGTTAAGGCAGCACATTCGCTTGAATTTGCTGCCAACACACCAGAATAGAAAACAACAACAAAAAAGCACCTGCTCCTTTTTTTCATCATGATAAAGCACCACAACACATAGTGACACATAACCGCGCATGCTATAATGCAGGGGCTTTGCCTTAGTGACTTGCAGTGCCACTAAAATGCATGTAACATGCCTTGTGGTATCACACGTTACAGAAATGCATAGGTGTCAATGGGCCCTAATGCTTTTGCAGACATCTCGGGCAATACCAAACTCTTTGCATTGACAGTTTAAAAAAATGCATGGACAATTTACTGGTAAACCTACTCGCAAACAGACAATCACCCTGCTACTCAGCCCTACTGGGATACCCTGTGGGCTTGGGGTGACACAAGTAAGACTATTCTAACAGGACAAATTATGCACTATAGATATACAGGCCCTTTAAAAAAAAAAATAAGGATCATTACAACAATTATTGGAAAGTAAGTGTTCACAAGAGCATGTAACACAGCACCTTTTAATCTTCAGGATGCCTCTCTAACATTACCCATCTGTTATCCAGGAGTATAAAGAAAAGCTATGACTGAGCAGAGCAAACCATGCAAGGTCTTCAGTCTCCTAAGTACTCTACTAAGAAGATGCCGATGTATGGTTTAACATTCTAGAATCCAAATACAACTTGATCTTTAGCATTCATTGGTGTGCTTAAGTAAATAGGAATTGTATGCTTTAAAGTGAACCTGTCAGTGCCTGCAACTGGCCTTCAATAAAATAGTTATTATTCCGAAGAGCAAATGCAGTAACCTATAGCAATGGAACAGAATTTATTCTGTATTCACTTTAGCACTTGGGAATCAGAACACTTTCCTGCATTATTGGTTATAAGGTTAAACTGTTGCTTAAATTCAGGGACCTAGTGCCAATATCATGCTCCAAAATCATTTCCCGTGCACTGCAGCAAAGGGAGGTTTTGGATAATACTAGTACGGTGTAGATGGAGTAGCCTGTGTGCGCAGTCAAGGCCCAGAGTCAGCGTGCACCGGATTGTTTGGAGCACTCCCGTTATTGCAGGCACCTTGCTGTATTTATGTAGCAGTTTCCATTTGACAATGTTGCACATTTTGACATATTTGTTCAATAACAGCTGTCTAGCCCAATAATTGCAAACTATAAGTCAAATGAATACCAGCTAAAACAAATATTCAGTGTATAAGTACTGGACTGACACAGGGCAACCCATTGTAGATCCTGGTAAAAGAACAGCCATTGGTGAATGTCCTCTGCCATCTAGTGAGCAACCATTGGTCAATGCACTTTATATCTCAATTAGAATGTGGAATTCAGAAGACCCGTAGCTTTTTCATTTTAAAAAAATATTTTTGTTATACTTTAAACAGAAATGTTTCCATAGAGAAACATGGAGGCTGCATTTGCTGACCAATCCTGAAAATCGCTAGTTGCCTCACTATAATATTGACATCTTGCTTTGAGTCACCAATGCAGTATGTTGACATGGACTTTACATTGGCATGCCTGATGTGCATTCTTATTTGGAGTCAGTGACTTAAAATATTGAAGTTTGGAACAGGTTCCAGGCAGCTAGTATTTTCAGAAGGAGGTCAGCAATGCAGCCATCATATTTCTCTTAGGAAAGGTTTATTTTAAACTGAATTGGTTCTAGCTGAACACATTTTCTGTAATATTGGGGAAATTGCTTACTACTGAACAGATTGCAGCATATGTGAACTGCTTTATGTCTCTTTTGGTTTGAACGCTCAGTCTCCATCAGGCAGACAGTGACAGCCAATCACAGGTTAGACCGAGTCAGCCAGTGGAACTCCTGTAAAAAGCAAAATAGAAGGTCATTATTTAGTCCTCCACCTTACTGGATTATGAAAACAAGAAACTAGCTAGAAAATGAATATAAATACATTGAGTGGAATTCAATAAAGCCTTAACGACACTTTTCTGGTGGAATGGACCTTTAAAAGTTTTCAGGATTTCCCGTCAGACTCCCTCCACTGTTAGCGTCACTGGTCGATAAGGATGCTGTCAGCTGTAGTTGAAAGCTTCCTTAACAAACAGTGATGCCTACTGTCAGTGACGTTGAGTGGATGGAGCCTGATGGGCAATTCAGAGTTCCCATCAGGTCCAATCTGCTGCAGATTGACAGCAGGCAATGGGCAGATGCCATAGCCAGCATGCTATTGGCTATGGCACCTGCCCACTGCCAATCAGCAGCAGAGCGGACCTGATGGGGAACTCAGTTCTCCGAGTTCCCCATCAGGCTCCATCCACTGTTAGCTTCACTGGTCATTAAGGACGCTGTCCCAATAGCAGACTGGCTATGGCACCCGTCCACTGCCTGTCAGTCTGCAACAGAGCTGACCTAATGGGGAACTCAGTTCTCTGAAGTCCCCATCAGGCTCTGCTCACCCACAGTGTAAGTCATCTACTACTCCACCTGCCAGTGTGACAGGTGCAGTAGCCAGGTGGGAGCTGAGCCTGTGATTTTATCAGGTTCAGCATTGCTGAGCTGCACTGAGGGCAACGTATCCATTATGGACACTCTAGCCTCATTGTGCCTCTCTACCGCATATGGTGGAGCTTTTTTTACAAACTAAACGAAGCACTGCGGTAGTAGATTCCATTACCCTATAATGCTTGGTAAAATGCATGAAAAGGTGTCCTCACAATCATCAGATGGATGGTGTTCCCAGACCTAGAGGTATGCAAATGTTACCTGAGTCTTCCTGTCTGACTGAGGATCGATCATGACATTGATCAGAGATGGAAGATGTTTCTCCGCGAAGCTGGCTTTCAGCGCCTGCTGCAGTTCCTCAGGTGTCTGCACAAAGTATCCTTTCCCACCAAAGGCCGTCATTACCTGCTCATAACGAGCATTTGGCAATAAAGATACAGGAGGTGTGCTGAAAAAAAGAACAGAGGTGCAATGTTTTCAATTAGGAAATTGTAGTGGCACAAGATTGTTGGTTTTTTTTTAGCATCCAGATAAAGACACAATTTTAGCAGTTGTGGAGAAGGAAGCCAACCAAATGAAAGGTAACTCGTATACCAAAAGAAAAAAAAATTATAGGAGTAACCTACAGCATACTCTATACATGTAATGTGTGTATCTATATTGTATGCACACACCACCATATAAAAAGGTACGCACGCTCATTATTGCAAACCAAACAGATCAAATCCTGAGGCTACAACTCAGAAAGAAGGGTCTAAGTGACTGTGGAATGATTGTTGGCACCAAACATGGTGACAACATCGCAGCTCCAGCTGACATCAACAGATTTTGTTACGCATTACCTTTTCTATGTCTACAGAGAGAAGAACAAGAAGCATATAGTAAGCAGCAATTACCCAAGTAAAACACATAAGGAACATTTATCTAATTTGCTTGCACGACAAAGCAATGCTAAACAGGAGAGGAGAGACAATGATAAAATTCAGGGGCTCCCGATGAAGTCCGTAAAGGACGTAACGTACATAGGGCGGAGTCACAAGCTCAATATGGCAGAGGAGTTCAGCAGCGACGGAAGGAGGAATAGATCCGTACTTGCTTGTAGCCTACTGCCTGGGAGTAGCAGAAAGAAAGGCAGGTCGTGTTCATAGTTACTGTTCACATAGCTGTACCCCTGCTGATGTGTGTAGTAGTTTTTAATAAAGTTTATTTTATTGGAACATTCTGCGCTATGTATCATTTTTGTGTTTGTTCTGAATGATTGACCTGAGGCTGTGTAGGATCACTTGGGAAAGCGCCCCTTTGTATGGGCATCTTTGCCTGATATCCTAGGAGTGGTTACCACTGAAAAAAAGGCCGGAGGTGGTGTACAATGGGAGACATTGTTTCTCTCTATAGGTTTCACTGCCCAACAGCTAGAGAGAGACATGCAGTACCAGACCTCTGTGTAGGTCTGATAACAAGGTGAGCGTTTTGTCTTCAAGGTGAACTTCACAGAGGTGCGGGGACACGAATTACAGTGAAAAAAGGGACTGTGTTATTTCGTCTCAAATTCTTACTTTATTACATGAACTAACACGTTTAAGTGATATTTGGTGTGTGTTCAGAACATCTTCACTTATTCGTTCGAATTATAGCACAAGTTGTGTGGATGTATGAGGGCTATTCATGCCTGCATGGTAATAATCTAAGGTGCTTCATTATATCCATTTTGTCATGAACGGTTTTGTGATTGACAATATATGCTATAACGCCTAGTGTCACTTATTCTTGTAAGTGTGATCATTTTTTTTTCACAACTGTTTATTTTGTGATGGGGTGAGCACGACACAACTGGAAACGAGGAGCTAAGAGACAGTTTGTGAAGAGATATGAGACTAACTGTGTTGCTAATTTGCTTAATAGATCGAAACTCCAAAACATCTAACTGGATGATATTTTAGTTTACTAAAAACACAAACATCATACACAGCTTCTATTTGTTTTTCATCCTGTAGATAAAGGTTTTCACCTTTTTCTAGCCATTATAAGTTTTGAACTTTCAGCCTTTTCCAGTCACTTCTTGTCTACATGCACTTGCTCCAGCATCGGTGACAAATAACTGCCCCGGACCAGCCTCCTGATGAAGAACGAGAACAGTGCGCAAGGTGTGCTGACATTGCTGCTTGTTGTTTCCACCAGAGGAGGCGACAGCCTGACAGTGTAGGAGCACAGCTGAGAGACAGTTGTCACCCCAAATCAAGAAATGCCGAAACAATGACCTTCATGGCTGGATCCCCGGATATTTTATTCAATAAAGGCTTCACATTTAAGAAGTATAAAAAAACTATTTTAATTACATTAACCTGTTAATGTTTATGGGATTTTAGTGACTGAGATTAGATTTACTTTACTGAGAGAATGCTATGACTTGCTCAAGCTCACAGAAAGTCCATAACTGCTGACTGAACCACTTCTTACAACCGTTATGAGCAGAAAGGCATGTAACATGTCAAACCTTGAAGAAGATGAGCTACAGCAACATAAGACTATACTGGGTCCCACCCCTGAAACACAAGGCTATAGTAGGCATAGGATGACCAAAACTGGTGGACTGAGGATTGTGCATTGCTTGATATGAACTTCAGATTCCTGCAATAACATGTATATGGCATTGTACAAAATGGACACACGCAGCATGAAACAAAGCATGTTCACCTGTTTATTGATAGTAGATAGGTGTATCTAATAAGGTGGCCACTGAGAAAGTGTACCTAATAAAAAGGCCTCAGGAGTAAATGTATATTCTAGTATTATTTTAAAAAGGAGTAGAACCTATACATCATAAGTGTGTCTAAAATGACTCTGAATTGCTTAACACAGACCTAAAATGCGATGAGAGTACTTTGTCCATATTCATACATTTTAAAGATGTTTAAAGTGACACTAAATTCAGGAGTTAAATCTTAAAAATGCATCCAAGTACCTTAACTAATAACAAAAAAGTATCTTATTTGTGTATCACTCGGCTGTAGATCCTCAAATCATCTCTGAATTTGTGCCGGCACTGATCTTCCTTCTGGAGGGTGGCTACTTTTGCTCCCCGTGGTCCCTGTGTGTGTTGTAAAGTAGCCACAGCTCCAAGCTCACTCCCATGATACACTACAATCTGACGTTTACTAATTTGTATTGAAGTTACAGTCTATCATGGGAGTGAGCTTGGAGCGGTGGCTACTTTACAAAGTAGCCACCCTCCAGAAGGAAGGACAGTGTCAGCATGAATTCAGAGATGATTTGAGGATCTACACCCAAGTGATACATAAAAAAGCTACATTGTTGTTAATAGTTAAGGTATTTGAATGCATTTTTAAGATTTAACTCCTGAGTTTAGTGTCACTTTAAGTCACAGCCATGTCTATACCTACATGCAAATACAGCCATCTACTGTGACTAGTTTCCTTTTTAAAATAATGTTCACATCAATACCCTAAATATTCAGCTCAAATTAGTCATTTTAGAAGACCCTTAACTGGAACCATTTCATAATTTATTTCAGTAAATAACTTCAATCCAATAAAAAGCATCCTATTACTTACATTGAAGCTGGGTCTCCAGCCTTTATCATGTCATTCCAAGTACCTTCATCCAACCCATTGTAAATTCCATTATTGTTCACCACAATAATGATAATGGGTAGATTGTGCCTGGAAAAAATAATAACAAATGTTGATACATCCCATTATTCAAACATTGTTCAGGTAGAAAATGTTTGGCGTAGCCTACAGTGATGTTCTGACAGTGAAAACATTCTCTCACAGGCAACATTGCAGTGGGGCTACCCCCGTACTGCAAGGGTTAACTGCCTGTTTTTTTCTAGGGGACAGAAGAATAAAGATTCACCCAAGCCTTAATACGCTCACCTCTCTTTGCCTTCGCTCCAGTAGTGGAATGTCCCTTGTCATCCTCAAATCTAATACACTGTATTAGAGGTGATGACTTACGGGTCCTTAAACCACTAGAGACCAGGGGAGAGTAGAGGCTGTGGGGACAGGACTAACAGCCAGGCAGGACTGAAGATCAGATGAATATATCTTTTTATTTTAGACCCCAGACCAAAACAAGCAGTTAACCCTTGAGTGCAGGGGTAACCCCACTGCAAGGGTTCATATTTCTTCTGCCCGGAGTTCTTATTCAACAAATGTCATCTCCTTTGAGATCATGTCAGAATTGTTCCCCTTTTCACAAAAATGGATCAGATTTCCCTCTGGGCATCTGTTCAGCTACCAGCTGCTTGGGCTTCCATGGGTTTTGGACTACAAAAATGATGACTCAATACTGTCTATTAGGGATGCACAGATACCATTTTTTCGGTATGGAGTACCGATATTTTGCTTTTGTACTCGCCAATACAGAGTACCGATACTTCCGCTGGCATGGAGCCGGCTTCACAAGCAATCAGGAAGCCGGGCAACAGGTAATGAAACACCGCCAGCGTCCTGATTGCCCAGGAAGCAAACTTCCCTGTTGTTTGGCCGGCCCCATTGTGATTGGCCGGGAAACCGGCTTCCCAGCCAATCAGCATTAAGTGGGCTTCCTGGCCAATCGGGAAGCCGGGCAGCGAGTAAGGAACCCACCTCCTGGCTTCCTGATTTGCCGGCAAGTCGGCTCCATGCTGATTGGCTGGAAGTAAACATCACATAAAAGTCAATTTGTATTGCTTTCATGAAGGTGCACTTATTCGCAACAGTTACAAATGAGTGGGATGGTTTTGTTTTCTAGAAGATTCCTACCGGCAGATCGTTTCAACTTCCATGCCAGAGAAACCAAAGGCACTGTCCCCCTCCACACAGACCACTCTCTTTTCTGGGCTCTCATCTTTTACTACCATGGCAGCTGCTATGGCAAATCCCAAGCCAACTCCCATTGTGCCGAATGTACCAGCATCTAATCTGTAGAAAACAAGAAATTGTACGGTTACAATGAATTACAGCTCTGCCATTTAAAAGATAAATAGAAAATGTAAAAAAATTGTATAACTTCCATAAAAGTATGTACAGTATTCTAGAATGCCATTTCTCATAGCTTTGGGCTGTATGGATTGGGGCAGGAAAATTGGCCAATTCACTATGCATATTGCAGTACATTTTTGTGCATTATGGCAGCCCAATCATTTTGAATAGGTGATATTGCACCTTACATGCATTGTGCGGCTTACCACAAGGTGCCTTAGTATGCCACTCAGCATGATTGCACTGTAGTGCACCAGTGTGAATATTATGCACTGCAACAGTGCGAATTCAGCCTCAAGCATTGCCAAGGTCCACAGCGGTTGTAAGGTGACTTTCGACATAGTGATTGTGATTGTGCTGCAGCAGCATTAGTTTGCAGTTCTGACTACTCCCAGATAACATCACTCTAACTCCAACAGTCCTGCTGAACTAGTCTAAATTTGAGCTGTGTGTGGCTCTGTCGGCACCACTGTGTTTCACAAAAGCCTATATTTCAATTGACTGTGGTCGAAGGAGCCAGGCTGAAAATTGTCAGATGAAAGGGGAATGCAGCCAATCAGCTGTAATTAATGTTCAGGTATTCCGACAACTGTGGGTGCTGGCTGTCAGAATATAAAAGCGTGGCAGGGGAGATTTCCCCAACCATAATGTCTAGCGTAGATGGGGGGATCAATGCTGTGTCACAATCAATGGGCCGCTTTACTGGGTACAATCAGTGTTTAAAAAGTAACTTTTACAAAGTCAGATAAAATGTTCTTCATTATTATATATTTTATAATATTTTCCCAACATATAACACAATGGAGTTAATTTACTGAGAAGTAGAGGCCACTTAACAAAGTGTATGTTCATGTTGCAGAGTGAATGTGGGTTAATTGGGTGAACCGTGTTTCCTTTGAATAACCAAACAAGTCCGAGGGAAATAAAGAAATAAATAAATAAAAATAGATTCTTGCCAGTACATGATTAAGTAAAACCAAAATTATAAGTAAAATAAACACCAGAGATTGATGATCCAGGGAATATCCGATTGCCTCATGGGATCAGGAGGGAATGATTTCCCCCTGTTGGAGAAAATTGAGCCATGCTTTACAGGGTTTTTTTTAGCCTTCCTCTGGATCAACATTGGGTAAATGTGGGCATAGTGTTAATCTCTATAGGTTGAACTCAATGGACTTTCAACCTAACTATGCAACTATGAGTGGGTATTTAAAGTAAAGACATGTTCACCTTTTACTAACATTTATTTGCGTTACAAACTGAACATTCACATTACTTAGTGAACAGGCTCTTCTATTTAGTAAATAAACCCGAATGATTCACTGAGCAATTAACATCAGTCCCTGAACTAGAAGAAGCTGACCATCTAATCCCCGTGCCACACTCACACACAATGGGTTGATGAAACCTAACTGGCCAGGATATTTTGGGATTCGGGAGGAAATCAGATCACCTGAAGGAAACCCACCGAAATACTGGGAGAACATACAAACTCCATACAGATGTCATAACGAGAAGGATATAAAACCAGGACCCACAAGTGCAAGACAAGAGAGCAAACTACCTGCTGCTTTTGCTATATTATACACTGCAGTAAAACAAACATTCTGAGAGCCTGATTGTTGGCCTTTCCCACTGTGGGCACACAGGTAAGCAAAAGCTTAAACATATTTGACTTCATGCAGGTAGTTCAAGATACTTATGTACCTGTGACGCGGATTTAAGTTTTGGAGTACAGTTCGTCCAATGTCCATTGTATTTGCTCCCTCACTCACAATAATGCAATCGTTAGGCAACACCTGTTTCACGTGGTGAAATACAGTATAGTAGTTCATTGGAACGGTTGTCTGTAAAGCTAAAGCCTGCAAAAAAACAAAAAAAAACTGTTATTTGAAGATATTGAAACTAAAGCAATCATGGTAAAACTAGCAAACTGCCAGACGGGGTGAAACACAGACAGTATCGGCACCTCCATATGAAGTATTTACCTGCTTCTGTTCTGGTGAGATTATGAACAGCTTTTTTTTAATGGACTAGTGAATTTTCTTAAAATTTACAGGTTTTGGAGGAAGCATGAGGCCAATACAGCAAACCAGCCACATGTCAGCTTTTCAATGTTAATACATCTACCCAGCACAGTGTAATGCAGTGTTTCTCAACCTTTTTTCAGTCATGGCACCCTTTAAAAATATGCAAAATCTTGAGGCACCCAGTCTAAACTGTAACCCGCAAAACAAATGTAAAAAATAATGTGTGGCACATTACTTCAGAGTTCCTACTTCACATCAGAAGCCCCTTTTACATTAGAGTCCCGCCATCACATCAGGAGCCACAGTCGAAGGGGGCAGGATGTGGGAGAAAGCCTGGATGAAGGCAAACTTATGACCTAATCGAGGGAGGGTGGGATCTGAATGGATCCCACCCTCCCTCGATTAGTGCAATTCTGTTCCCTGGTGCCGTCAGACTGCCTGCATGAACCACAGAAATGCATGGCACTGTGTGAAAATTTCAAAGAACACCCAAGAAAACCAGGAGGCAGCTTAGAGTGCTACGGTACCTGTTTGGGAAAGATGGCGGTAATGAAATCTGCATAGGAATATGTAGGAAAAGCACTGAAGCCACAGCAAACAGGAAGTTCAGCTTACAGCAATGCCCTGGATGTCATGGGGCAGAAAATGAGGGAAACTTTCCCCAGAAGCGATCGAGGCAGAAATAAAACCTGAAATGAGACCTCATTCCTCCCTGCCTTTGAAGTCATTCACACCACTGCTCTGCAAAAACATGAATGGACTGCCTTAATGCAACATGCATGTTTGTTCTTAAAAACCTCAGCTTTGGCTGACCCATTTCTGGTGTTAGAGATTAAGGTGTTTTACTTACGTATGTATCATATGTAATATTTCTTTATTCGCCTGATTTAAAAGCTCTAAAAATATTATCTCGTTATTACAAATTAAGAAAGAAAAACACATGCACAAAAACATTATAACTTTCCCTTCAAGCTATGGCTATTGGTATTGATTTATAATGAACTGATTCCTTGTTAAAAGTTGGATTGTCAGGTCCACTTTATCATAAGACTGTCTGCCTTCTCACCTTTGAGTTTTCTTCATTGGCTTTTATCTTTGCTTTTAAGTCTTTCCACCATCCTGTAGTGGGCGGATACTTCCAAGTGCTCTTTAGCAACTCATCTAAAAGCTTTCAGGTATAAACAAACAGACAAAACAAAAAAATCAATAAAAATCAATAAGTCAATAAAAAAACCAATAACTCAATAATAAATTATTATTTTTAACAATATTATTTCTCTTTTAGTGTTCAATATAGATTATTATATATGCTTGATGTGTGATGTGATCTGTTTTTTTTTAAACAGTACAAATTAAGCATTGCACAGGTATGCAAGACAAATAGTATATGAATACAAACTAAAACAACAACAAAAAATGAGTTGCCCTTGTAACAATAGTGGTATAAAACTATGGTTGCACAGATACCAAGTACAGTACTCGGTACAAGTACGAGTACATGCACCGATACTTTTGAGCTCCAAGACTAGACTAGAGAAAAATGTAAAAGTTAGGAAACAGCTGTCATTTGTAAGGAGCACACGGAGCTCCTGGGATTTGTACATCTCTGTTTTAATGTACGATTTTGTTTTTATAAATATAAATAAAGTGATGCACAGATACCAGTTTTGCGAGTACGAGTACTGGTACTTGCCGAGTACTTACAAGTACGAGTACTGATACATTTTTGTTTATTGTCATGTGACAGTTTTTCTAAAACAATACAGACTAATGATTTCAGGACAGTGGTGGAGTGCCAGAGCCGGGTCCCAGCTGCAACCGCTGCAACCCTGGTAGTTCTCATGAAAATGCCAAGTATCGGCACTGGTACTCGAAAAGTATCTGTGCATCCCAATATAAAACAGTACAAAATACAGACAGTTCTGAAGAGTATATAAAAGAAATGCATATATAATGAATGTAAAGGCGACCACCATGGAAAATGCCTAAGGCTCTGTTCACACCTAGGCGTATCGAATGTGCGACAAACGCGCGTTTCCGAGAGCGAATTGGCTGTATACCAATGGAAACGTGCAACAAAAACGCTGCAAAGAAGCTCATGTACCTTTTCAGGCGTAGGCCGTTTTGTAGCGCGTTCAGACGGGCTGAAATATGGCAAGGTGTGAACCATACCCATAGAAAACAATGGGATTTTCATGTTTGAGCGTTTTGTAGAGCGTTCGTAGAGCGTTGAATGCGCTACAAAACGTACAGGTGTGAACCAGGCCTAAGCAGTAATAGAGGTCAACGGCATACTCCTCCAAGACACCCCATATCTGTTGCTGTTTAGGACAATTTCTATGGACATAAACGAGTTTCTCATAAGGAATTATATGATTAACCATCAAGGTCCATTGAGAGACCGTAGGTTAACCCAAATGCATCCACTTAGTAGCAATTAGTTTACGAGCATTTCTCTCAGGAAAATCCTAGTACAATGAGGCCAAAAAGACACACTCCAGAGTACACAATACTGATTTAGATAGCATTAAAGATAATTTAGACGTCACCGACCACCAAACGTTTGCAATCACTTGGCAGGACCAAATCATATGAAAAAAAGTCTGCATTAGGAAGCAAATAACGCAGACAGTAGACACTATTACCACAATTGTATCCTGCAAAGAGACAGGGGTGTTAAATATGCTTGATGAATACTAGATTTCTGAATCAGTTTATTATTTACAGCCAGTAACACATGTAATGTGCTTAAGTTTCAGCCTGCCACAAACTATTTATGGGTGGAGATAGTAGGTGGGCTAAACCACCCATTTTCTTCTTTTAGCTTGATGACTTGTCAAGGACAAGAACTTGTCTACTGGAGTTTGCAACTTTGTCATTTCCCCACATGAAGGTGTTTCTCTGTAGTTTATTATACAGTGAATGCAATGGTGAAAGGTTGCGACAGCTGGGTCAATCTTGGAAATCACACATAAGGATCTTACCACTGTACATCAAAGATATACTGCTAGTGAAAGTCTGCGAGTAGTTTGTTCTACTGGAATGACTTAGGCATTTAGTAGAAGTACACTGGAAAAGGGACAAAACAGAAATATAGATGCACAAAAACAATTGCACATGTAAAAATAGTTTCTGGCTAACTTGATGGAGTGATGTTATTTGTTGCAGTACAAAAAGAAGCTTTAAAGCGCTTACCCTGCCAAGTGACAGTAGACATCTTACCTGCTGAGTCACTGCATTAACATCACCCAGGAGACTTGCTGCAGGTTTAACGTTGTTGCCAAGCTCCTCTGGACAAATGTCAACCTGTCAGGAGCAGAAGAGAATAACTTTACCTTAAAAGATCATTCTGAAAATTATTTGTGCCGTAAGGCTATAATATTATCAGCTCAGACAAAACTAGGCCATGAAACATTTGGCAGAAGCTTTACAGGTTGCTCATAGGGAGTTACGAGGTCAGTGTATTAAATATGTCAGACTGAGGTATCGCTATTATAATGGCACCACCTGCAGTCTATGACACATACCTTTAATATCTCTTCCGGCAAAGTGCACATTTAAACTCAGAAATGAAAATGTTGCTGTTTAAAGGTGATGCAGATTTCCAAAGAAATAAGGGTGGGTGCTACCGTAGTCGACGGCTGGCAACCGTGGTAGATATCAAGTAGAATATGAAGAGATGCCGGCATTCCAATAGCGAATCAAATACGTCTGTTTATTTGAATTATGAGTAGCATAGTGTGATACACTTAATGTGACGTTTCGGGGTCACACAGGATCCCCTTCATCAGGCAGAACAAGTGATGATTCTCAGTGTGGAAAACCTGTCCCCATTTGTGATAAAAAAAAACCAAGAGGGCTCCAGCATACTGAATAGAATGCCTCCTCTTTTCTATAAATGTAAAATCTCAGCATATACTTTCCTGTTATAACATCAGCATTATAATAGGAATACATACTAGAGTTGTTTTTTAAAGCAATCAAAGCTGACTTGGAAAAAAATCCCTTTTATGTAGTGAGTGCTGCCTTCTGTCTGCCCATCACTTTCCACAACTTCCTGGATTCCCAGTGTGCTTTGCAGCTCTTTTACTGCTGCCTGATGTTATGCAATGTGGATTTCTCAAAACTATGCAGCACGTATTGAATTGCTTGCCGCAGGCAATGGTGCTATTACATTGTTCAGAGGTTGAGTCCAGAAAGCAGGCTTTGTGAGAGTGGTAAAATAAAGAAGTGAACATTCACAGAGCTGAGTGAATTGTGTCACTGCACTGGGGGAAGTACATCCTATGGCCACCTTCAATAAGTTTACAAACATCCAGATCGATATAGTTATTAGGAGTGGGATAGAACATATGGAAATTTAATATAGAAATACATATTTACTTTGACTATAGATACATTTTAAAAAGGGTCAGCCCACTGAAAACAGCTACTTGGTTTTGGTTGCCCTCAGCAAGTTAAATGATTCACTGATTTCTTATATCTTTCAAATAGCTATAGAGATAATCCTCAGCAGAGTTTTACTACCCCCACTCCACCCCCATGGAATGCACTGTCACTCCGTTTACTGCAGCAGGATTCTCAATGTCTTACAAACAAAATAAATAAAACGGTGGGGCTAGACCCCCAAGCAATGGCTGCAGCAGATCTGGGAACACAAGTGCAGCTATCTCACGGACATGAGAAAGCAATGGGTACATTAAAAGTTTTGAACTATTCCATTAAACTTTGTTATATGGTAAGAAGTAGGGATGCACTGATACCGATACTAGTATCAGTATCGGTGCCGATACCAAATATTTGGGCGAGTACTGGTACTCGCCCGAATGCTCCCGATGCCTATCCCGATACCAGAACTTCCGGTATCAGAAAGCCGAGCGGTAAATCATTACACGACAATACCTTTTGGAGCGCTGGAATATTTACCTGTCAAGTAGTACATGTTCTGTCCAGGTCCAGCCTTGCTGTCTGTACTTCTGTGTGTTGCTGTGACACTGGTTGGCTGTTGCACATCATCTCCCATTATGCTTCTTGTAGAGATTAGCAATGTGGTTTTGTAATGTTGAGCATCTAGCCAGCTTCCCAAAAAGCCTGATTGGCTGGGAAGCTGCCTCAATGTTGATTGGCTGGGAGAAGCCGGCTCCATGTTCCCTCGCAGGACTCTGAAGTTCCGGGATCGGGGAAGGTATAGGAGCATTTGGACGCCCAGCTACCGTAGTATCGATGCATCCCTAGTGTTAACCACTATGACATTTGTGCTGCATTCACATCAAAGCAACAGCGTTTTCGCTGCACATTTTTAGCCCTTTTTCTTTTACGCGTTTTATGGCCGTACATTATGTTGCGTGTCTTTGTGAACAGATTGATGTAAATGGACAAACGCGTGCAAGCATAATAGTGTCGCGCATTTTTGAGCATTTCCAGCTAACTCTATGGAACCAACAAGAGCTTAATCTGCCAAAAATAAGTTAATGTACTTTTTTCCAGTGACGAGCGTTTTGCTGCAAGCGACAAAATGCTCAGATGTGCACATGGCTATAGAAATGAATGGAATTTTGTTTTGGGCATTTTTTGGAACGCTTATTAGGACAGAAAAAAAAGCTATAAAACGCTAGGTGTGAATGAGGGCTTAATGCAACTTTCTGAGAAAGTATCCTGTATGGGCATGTCTGAATTTTGTCCTCCTCACTACATTACACTAACACAAACCATCATATATATCACTATGGCATCATAACATATGCTCTGTTTTTATAACCAAACTTTATCTCACTTGAATGATCTTCACATCTGGCCGAAACCGTGGTGGAAGACCAAAGTGCAAAATCCAGTTCAGTCTGGCACCCAGTAGCAGTATAACATCTGCACGCAGCAATGCACTGTGGGCAAGAAAAAGATATTGCCAGGTAGCAACCAGTCAAAATACATAATGAGCAAAATGTTTTAACATGCAGTAACAAAAACGAGTGACAAAGAGACAAGCATTTGTTTCTTATTTGCTGCTGAATGCACATTTATAAAACAGACACATCTAAATAGGTTCACTTATTCACCTGGTCAAGTCACATTCACTAGCACCAGTGAAAGCATGCATTATTATAGGGTATTTTCCCCATTTGCCTGGATTATGTTTCTAGGTTCTGTTTTCTCAAGAGCAATTGTCATATACATGAGGACAAGCCCTTTACCTGGATCTGGCAGCAGCAACGCTAAATGGATGATTATCGGGTACCACACCTTTACCCATCGGAGTTGCTAAAAATGGGAGTCCACATTCATTTACTAGTCTTTGTATAGTGTTCTCTGCACGCGAAAAAGCAGCACCTTTCAAAAAATAAAACAAAATTACATATACAGTATCTCTCAATTAAAAATGGTGACATCTACAATATGATGATCCCTGTAACCACAAGTCACAAGGTTATTTTACATTTAACATAAATGGGTAATTGGCATGTTGCAGGGCTATATTCATATTGTAAACGTATCTGAAAAACACATGACTATCTACATATTCCGTGTTACACGACATCTACACAGTTCTCATAGGGCACTTTGTACTTGATATGAAGCCATAACTTACCTTTTCCTATTATAACCAGGGGGTTTTGCGCTTTTTTCAGCGCAACAACTGCTTTCTGTACTTCTAAAGGGTCAGCCAGGCTGATGGGACACGGTAAACAGCAAGTTGTGTACCTTGTGAAAGACAGAAAATATTTCTATTAACTACATGACAAAGTGTGGGATGCTACAATGGGGGTGTACATGTCCTTAGCCAGCAAGGTACATAGCAGGACTCTAATTGTTTTCTATTCATACTATATTTATTGTATTTACTTATTTAAAGGAGAACAATTGGGAGAGAAAAATGCAGGTGACCCACGCAGGCTCTATAGCTTGAGAACTGAGTGATTACAAATCGCTGATCGCTCAGCTCACGGCTTCTCCCTGCAGAGAGTAGTGACTGTCATACACCGCTTCCTGCAGGGATTCCCCCCTCCTCACTCTGTTCCTTCAGCGCTCATTGGAGGGGCAGACAGGGAAGGGGCGGGCACAGCTCTGGCTCTAGCTCTAGCGAGGCAGAGTCAAATGTCAATCAGGCAGCAGTGTGTTTTCCAACAACATTGTCATGTTTCTTCCTGGCTGCAGAGCAGCTCTGAACTATCAGCATATAGTGTGCAGGACCCCACTATTTTCCGAATTTGTGCTCCTGTGACCCAAAAGACAACTAAAGCCAAAAAAAAATGTTTGGCTTTAGTTCTCCTTTTAAAAGAACTGACTTCCAATTAGTAGAGGGAGCACTGGGATTAAGTAACAGACCATAAAATGCCCTGGGCATAAAGCACGGGGATGAAGTATCGGACCATAAAGTGCCCTCTACTGTGGGCTCAGTTTATCAATTTGCACAGTGCAGTGTGTTGACCTGATGCAGGACATCTAGGTATACTTAGGTGCAACAAGAGAGGATCCATTCTGGAGGGACATGTGTTAGAGCAGGAGGCTGTCTTTATTTTTTGTACTATGTTTTGTTAAAACAATACTAAAAATAATTTAAAAAAGTAGTCAGATTAAACAAAAAATAAATAAATAAAAAAGAAAGAAAGAGGAGACTCGAGTGGCAGCACTTGCAGGGCCAGACAAAAGATATATATCTGCCACATTGTGAGTAGATGGTACACACAACCCACAAATGCTTTTCTGAATTGTACACAGTAGGATTACAATTGACACTCAAAAAAAATCATGCAGTACGCAAAATATCATAAGTTTAGAGGATCCCAACTTCCATAATGGCATAGCACCCCCAAGGTATTGACTTACCTGACTTCACTCCTATCAACCATCTTATTTACAAAGTCTCCAGGTATGTCTACATAGCAAGAACCAGGACGGCCATACATACTTGTTCTTACAGCCTGAAAAAAATAATTATTTATTTCTCTGATCACTTGATACTTACAGTAACCCTCACAAAGGTTTACATAGACTAGTGATGCCCAAATCAGCTTCACATGCAAATTACATTGAACGGCAAGTCAGTTCAAAGTATAAACAAATTGACCAGCCATAAATAACTGGAATAAAAGATATATACAGATTATATAACAAGACCAAAACATAATGGAGGGATACCTTCTCAATAACAATGGGTATAGCTTCCAAGCTGCTGGGTCTGGTGGTGAATTTACTGTACAATCGACATGTTTCCACCTAAAATACAAAATAAAAGATATTATGTACAAACCAAACCAGGCATGTCAAGCTCAGAGGAAACTGTGGACTGAATTGAGAATTTTCACTGGGGCCAAATCAAATTAAACGTTATGGCACTCCAGAATTTACCTTATAGTAAAAATTCCAACTTCCAATATTTAATCCCAGAGACAGGGGCCATAAAACATTTTTGTAGTCCCCATTTCCACTTATGAATGGGGCTACACACACGAGCCTAATAAATTCCTCCAATACCTGCAGAGGATCGCGTCTGGAGACAAACAGTCTGCATTCAGGTGCAGTCACCTGCAGATAGTCGCAGCATGTACAATTACATGTGAACACAGAACAGCTGTGTGCGGAAGCAGTTGTCATTGTATGTGTACAGCGCCTCTCACCCGCAGCAGATCACATGAGTCTCACAGAGGAATTCATGAGGTTCATGCCATCAGTCCCATTTGTAGTGTGAATGGGGCCTACAAGAAGGAGTAAGAGGGCTGGATTGCCGTTTGACATGTACCAGAGCACATATGTTACTGAACTTGCACTCCTGCACCATCATAAATCTAAAAATCACAGCTTCACAAAGGTTACAACAGAGACCGGGGAAGCAGATATGGATATACAAAACAGATATTGTGCATGGAGATATCAGTCAGTGAGCTATTCAAGTTGCAGCAAACACTGCGGCCGTGCGAAAACTGCAAAGATCGCTCACTTCTCGATCCTGTCACTGCAGATAGCCGTGACAGGGGAGGGACTGGATTCCCCCCTCCCCGCTCCAATCCTCCAGCGCTGACTGGCGGAACGGACGGGGGAGGGTACAGCTGGCTCTGCCTCTAGATAAGCAGAGCCAGCTGTCACTCACGCAGCTGGGCGGATCCCGACATAATTGCCGGGATCCGTTTCTGCTGCGGTGTCTCAGCTGTGGCTCGCGGTATACTGAGCTTAGGGTGACGGGAGTACGCTAGTTTGTATCCTCCCGTTACCCTTAGGAGAACTATGGGGAAAAGCCCTAACCCCATAGTTCTCCTTTAATCTTAAAGTGTATCTAGAACCAAGAACAACAATTTTATATATTGCAGATTACCAGACATGGTGTCTATGAGCTTTTTCCCCCTTATTTTTACCCAGTGGTCCTTCCATTAGCACACTTCCTGTTCTAAGGAGACAACATTTACTCACTGTACTGTATCCATGGAGGAGCAGCATCACCGTAGGATAGGATGTGTTTTAAGACTACAAAAGAGCTCCTCCATTCTTTATCTCTATAACATGGGGGGACATGTTCTGTAGTATACAATACAGGGTGGGCAGAGAATAGAGGGTAAGGATTTCTAGCAGGATGGGTTTTTTGCAGTCCACTTCATACACATTTTTATGCTGAAATATGCGTTGCTTACCCTCTCTGTGTGTATCATCCATCACATTAAAACTTCCAGGTTTGGATTTGATTGTTGGCTGAAAGAAGCTCCTCATTACTAACAGGCTTCTAGTATAAGACTAGTATTTTGCTTCTTCACAGATCCCCTTCAAGTAAAGTTGGCTATACAGGGTAATATTTTCTTTGTTCAACTTGGGGGCTGAACGACAAAAACATATAAGATTTGGCGGGTATGCATTCTCTCCCGCTGTGAGCATTGTATTCTGACAGCGGTTGACAGCCGCTGTCAGAATACCTGAACGATGCTTGGAGCTGATTGGCTGCAAGCACTGTTCGACTCAAGATTATCTAGCATGTTCCTTTGGCAAAAGTCAATCTAATGATTGACTTCTGCCAATGGCATAGGGTCACAAGCACAACTCCATGTGTATCCTACTTTAGAGTGGAGCAAATTTCACTTCAAAAAAACAAAACAGTTTATTAATCATGTCACATAACGCTATGTACCTGAGGAAACTCTTGAAATGCTCCCATTGTTTCCTGGCTAGAATCAGAGGACCCACCTAAGACAATCAGAGGCCTAACAAAACAGCAAAACAACAATGAATATAATGTATTAAAGATGAAAAAACACCTCAAAAATAACTTTGATATTAGTATTCTTCATGTTCCCTAAACAACAAAGAGCGACATATTCATTTACAGGCCGATCTCCTTTACTGAAGAGCAGAGGACTGAATGAAGTCTCCGGCCTTAACTGTGATCAGCCCAAAGGAGAGTCATGGAATGGTAACATAAGCCAGTACCCAAGACAGCAAAGGCAGCAGATAGATATAAATTCTGTCCCCCATACATGGTCTATCCCAGGGGCAGGCAACCTTGGCACTCCAGCTGTTGTGGAACTACAAGCTCCATGTGGCATTGTAAGACTCTGAAAGCCACAGACATGACTCCCAGAGGCAGAGGGGACTTGTAGTTTTAGCACAGCTTGGAGTTCCAAGGTTGCCTACCCCTGATCTGCTCAAATAAAACAAAGATTTAGCTGGAGGTGGACTCCAAAAAACCCCCAACAGAATCCAAATCACAACTATGTGATCTATGTGCTAAAGACAATTATTATGACTAAAGATGAACTCAGGTTCGGACCAAACTAGGGATGCACAGATACGAACACTAGTATCGATATCGGTGCCGATACCGAGTATTTGGGCGAGTACTCGTACTCGCCCAAATGCTCCGATGCCTTTCACGAGTACTTCCTGTATCAGGAAGCCGGGCAGCGCGTCATTACCTGTAATGACGCGCTGCCCGGCTTCCTGATTAGCCGGCCAGACAGCTCCGGCTGGGTAGCGGAGGAAGGCCGCGTTCTGGCTGGAGAGGCCCCGGGGGTGACAGGCTGGACATACCAAGGCAAAAGGGGACAGACTTTCTTGTTAATCGGGAAGCCGGGTGGCGAGTCTTTACACGCTACCCGGCTAATCAGGAAGCCAGGTGAGGAGTCATTACACGCCACCTGGCTTCCTGAATGGGACTTCCGATACTCTGTAATTGGTATCTGCGAGTACCGGAAAAAAAATTATTGGTACTCGGTACCAAAATACCGGTGCATCCCTAGACCAAACCCATCCCAAACCAGAGTTCCTCCAAAACATGGAAGTGCCATGGGCTCTTTCACCTAATCAGCAGCAGGCTGGGCATTCCCCACCCTGCAGCTTCATGTAAACAAATAAGCGGGATGTTTGTGCTGATGTCCTTTACCGTATATATCCACAAACACATTTTAGGTAAATGTCATTTATGAAATATAGGCAAGTAGCCTTATAAGGTCAATAACCCCACCGCATTCCCTCCCCTGTGTTTATATCAAGCAGCTGATTGGGCGGCATGGAAGGAGCTTCCTTCTGCTTTCTGGAGGAGTTCCGCTTTAGTCTGAACCTGAGCTCGTTCCTTAATTAGGACTATAGATCACTTCAGTACCCTGGCTGTTAGAACATACGTGAAGTGTAAAACAGATTACCAGCAGTTCATATTAGAATTTGCCATCCCACTGAGAGCATTAATGAGACCGGGTCCAGACACCACGAGGCACACAGCAGGTCTGAAAAATAAAAACCTTTAATCAGCAAATAAATATTGTACAAGCATAATAGAATATGCCACCTGCTAGCATCAAGAGGTAATATGAAATACTCATGTGCCCATATGTACCCAATGAAAACAAATATTTACCTGCCTGTAAGATATCCCACGGCTGATGCAGCATAGCATGCCTAAGGCAAGATACAATATAGAGAAGTTACCGGTAGGTTCAAGCTTAATAAGACGGCATTGAAATACTGCAGATCAGAGTATAAAATCAGAATTGTCTATTACTCTACGGTTTATAGATATCATATCCAGACCGGCACAGATGACATCTGGAAAAATGTCTGGGGGCATGCCCCAGGCTGGCAAAGGTCTGCGGGGAGACTGTCATTCATACGGCTGCACTGGAGAAAGGCGTTGAAAAACATTTTTCAGTAATACTGTAATCGAGGTGGGTGGTAAGTACCACACACATTAATAAGACTCTGTGTCATCCACTGTGGGCGGTTTTTATACTAAAGCAATCATCTGAATTGTGAACTGTGAAATTCTGTTTCTGTGGTGATGTGCTCTGTTACAGGACTCCCATGAACAGTGCCTGTGCAAAGTCATCTGATCAATAAAGTGTATTTCCACTTGTACAGCCAAACTGAGATAACACCCACTGTATATTATTTACATGTTCCCTTTCAAATAGTATAACTTGAAAAAAATATTCAAAAAAAACGTTGGTGACCCTTTTATTGGCTGTAAATCTTATTTAGCTTTCTCCTACTATGTAATGTCAAGGAGGTGGCTGGGGAGTTATGTTTGCCATAATTAACCCTGTCTGAACTGTGCTGGCAGATCTCATGATCAGTTAATTAGATGTACCGGATTGTCTGTTAAAAACAGAGTATTTTTAACCCCTTCCACTAAATATTACATGTGCATATAGCTCTGCTTATTGATGTGAAATCATCTGCCATTCTTGTAAAAACTGCATGATGCCAATACGCTTCCAATAGAGCGTATTGGGATCATGCAGTTTCTCTTACGCATGCCCCATGCGCCAAAGCACTCATCTGTCGATAAGATTTCCCTGCGGGGAATCACTTACAGCAGGGTTAGGCAACCTCCACCACTCCAGCTGCGGCAAAACCTCAAATGCCATCATGCCTCTGCTTTGGAAGCCATGCCTGTGGCTGCCAGAGTCTAGCAATGCTGGGACTTGTAGTTCAACAGCTGAAGGGTGAGGTTGCCTACCCCTGACATACAGCAAACAGTTCAGTTGATTTTAGTTAGATCAGTAGATGTTGAATTCTGACTCCATTATTACACTTCTAGCCCTAAAGTGTATGTTAAAAAAAGAACTAAAGACAAACCTTTTTTTTCGCATTAGTTCTTTTTTGGGTCAAAAGGAGTAAATGTACTAAATGTGATCCTGTGACCCAAACTCAGCATATAGCGGGCTACTGGTCACTATTTGCTGACAGCACAGAGCCGCTCTGCAGTCAAGAAAGATCCCAACAATACTGTCAGAATCCACCCTGCTGCCTGACTGACAGCTGACTCTGCCTCTCTAGAGCCAGAGCTACCTATACCCACCTCCCCTGCCTGTCTGGGAGAAGCCTGTGAGCTAAGCGATCAGCGGTTTGTGATCGCATAGCTCTCGATAAATAGATCCGGTGTTCTGGTAGAATCCTGGACCTGTTCGAAATCTGGACCTGCGAATCACTTCCGTTGTCTTTTGGGGGGCGGATGCGGGTTGGGCTGCTGATTGGTGAAGCGGCGCCTTGACTGTAAAATTCCTGGACCCGCTTCATCACATATGCGCCTATGAAATTTATGGACCCAATCACATCTTCTGCACTTGTGCTGCTTGTGCTGACGCAGTCCAGATTCCGGTATGACACCAGCATGTGACAGCTGCAGTGCCACACGCTGGTTCTCAGTATTGGGAAGAGTACATTTTAATCTCTGAATAGTTGTCCTTTAAAGAAGACCTTTACCCTCTTTCACTAAAAAATACATCAGCACTAGGGCTGCAACCAACTAATCGAATAATCGATAAAAGGAATCATTGTCAACGATTCTCATTATCGATTAGTTGGTGTAAATACCCTAATTCTGTCCTCCGCGCTGGGAGCCGGCTCTGTGTCCCATTTGATCCCTGATGCTCCCAACGGAGAGCTCCTCCCAACCTCAACATACCCCACACCCCCGCAGCACTCTCCTCCCCGCTGGGAGCCCACTGCATGCTGCAATTTGTGTCCCCTCTGATCACTGCTGCTCTCCCCAACTCCCTCCTTAGCAGAGGCAACAGGGATTGGAGGAGACACAGACCGCTGCAAATGGCGCCCAGCAGGAAGGGGGGATTGGTTGTAAGCCAATGCCACTGTGACTGCTACCCCTGCCCAACAATAACCAGCCTGCTATTGGCTATTTCAAGTTGCAATAGCCAATAGCAGGCTGGCTATTGCACCCACACACTGACTGCTGTCAGTCTTTTGCAAGTTATCTAGTTATAGTTAAACTACTGAAACTCTTTCGCTATCTTCATCTCTACAACATCTCTTCCCCTTGTCTGTATTCCAAGACAAGAAGTAGGGGGGCTAGTTAGACTCCTTGAGATAACACAAACTAGAAACAAAAAAGAAACAAAAAGGGCGCAACGCTAAGTGGGCTAACTGACCGGGTCGGAAGACCCAGGGAAGGTGACAGGGAGAATTATGTGACAATGGGTGCAAAAGGCACAAGAATGAGCACTTACGTTTTAATTCATGGGACCAGAGGCTGAACGGCCGGTGTGGAGGATCGGGACATCCGTGGTGTCTATCTGGAACTGTTCCTTCTCGAGCTTGAAAAAGAGGTATCGCTCCTCGAAACGCGTCGCTCAGCTCACTGCCCCTCCACCCCGCTACTACCCTCTTCCCACCACAGATCCGACTGACAGCTGACCACTTTCAGCCCACGGCTCCCGCACACTGCTTCAGTCGGTGCCGTCAGTGACTGTGCATCACGATCCACAGCCGCGGCCACAGCAGTTCTGCCTGCTTCTGACACCGCTGATTTTCTCCCGCACAACTCGGCCCCTGGACTCACACAGCGGGCCACGGACTGAGTCCCCATTCTTGTGGCTTCTCCGCCCCTCTCACCTTCGCCCACAGCCTCCTCTCCCCGTGTGGATGCACATTCTCCGGCACACCAGTTCCAGATAGACACCACGGATGACCCGATCCTCCACACCGGCCGTTCAGCCTCTGGTCCCATGAATTAAAACGTAAGTGCTCATTCTTGTGCCTTTTGCACCCATTGTCACATAATTCTCCCTGTCACCTTCCCTGGGTCTTCCGACCCGGTCAGTTAGCCCACTTAGCGTTGCGCCCTTTTTGTTTTTTTGTTTCTAGTTTGCATATCCACAGGCACTCCTCCTGGGCTTCAGGGCTGCACACTATGTAGGGTCACACATTGTTTACCCCCTCAACATCATTACAAGAGCGCTGTTTGTACGATGTGTTTTTGAGATAACACAGTAAGTGTGCACAGGACATCTGCAAAATTCTGACACAATCAGTGGGTATTTTTGTGTGCATAAAAGCGTTCAATGACAAAAACAAAAAAACACACTATAAATATTGGTAAATGACTTTGCTGTACTTACCGCTTGCTCATTTCTCATGCCAACATACTTGATTCCTACTGTTTGGGCGGCAATAGCTATTTCAATCACAGGAATCCCAACAATACCAAACATGTACTTCACATTCTGAAAATAGAAACACAAAAAAATGAACAGGAGATTGTGTGTTATAATCTAGTGTTCCTTTAAGAGCAGCTGTTATCTTGTAATATATCTGTACTGCGGAGAGCTCGGTTTTAAGGTGGCCATACACTTTACAACCATCGCAAGACTTTGGTCTTGCGATGGTTGTAAAGTAATTTAAAAAACGTACGATCTGCCCATCTTGGACAGCTAGATCGTACTTGCGACCGCAATGCTGAAGCGTGCGCACACCGGCCCGTTCGGCATTTGTCTCCCGAGCACCGTTTAAACCAGCCGAAAATCGTAAGATTTTCGGCTGGTTTTCTAGCATGCTCCTTAGACAAAAGACGTGCGACCGTACAGTAGAAACGGTCACACGTCTTCATTCACACTGCACGATTCGCGTACGATCGCGGGATTTCGCACAATTCTCGTACGAGAATCGTGCAGTGTATGGGTACCTTAAGGATGAGGAAATAATGTTACTTGTATGCAACTAGTATGTTACCTACCACAGAACTCCTGTTTTTATTAGGTCTTATGTGCACAAGTTATTGTTTATATCGGAGCTGCTTTTCTAAAGCATTTTTAAATATTTTTTTTCCAACTTAGGTGAGGTCAATATGTAACAAATTTTAAATGGGTGTTAATCCAATTTGGACACAAAAGTGGAAATGCGCTTTAAGGGCTGGTTCACACCACCTGCACGCTAGAACGGTGTGATTTAGGGTTGGTTCACACCGTAAGCAGTGCATTCCGGTCCGATTCTGGCCGGAATGCTCTGCGGTCGGCTCACTTTTTTGCCGGGCTGGAGGGGGCATGTCGGGCCATTGAAGTGAATGGCACCGTAGCCACGCCCTCTGGCCGCAATGCGATCACCCGCACGGGATCGCAAGCACATTGTGCCTGAGGTCCAGTGCGATCAAAATGCTACAAGCACTATTTTGATCGCACAATGTGCCTTGCAATCCTGCGCGGGCGATCGCATTGCGGCCGGAGGGCGTGGCTACGGTGCCATTCACTACGCCACGCCCCCTCCAACCCCACGAAATACTGAGCCGGACCGCAATGCGATGCAGTGCATTCCGGCCAGAAAGCACTGCATATGGTGTGAACAGGCACTTAGGGTACATTCACACCAGATGCAGTGCGTCTATTTTGATCGCACCACACTGGACCGCAGGCACAATGTGCCTTGTAAAACCCGCACGGGCGACCGCATTGCGGCAGGATGGTGTGGCTACGGTGCCATTCACTTCAATGGCCTGCCACGCCCTCTCCTACCCCACAAAAAAGTGAGCAATCCGCAATGCGATGCAGTGCGTCCCGGGACAGAATCGGACCGGTACGCACTGCATCTGGTGTGAACGTACCCTAAAAGTGAACCTTGAATCAAAATGTAAGGTCCGCTAATGTTCCAGTCTCTCTTCCCTAAGAAAAATGTTCACTGAAAGCTTTACAAAACAAATACTTCCCTTTCACCCTCAGCACCCTTCCCTTATTACTCCCCAGCTTCTAGACACACTCAGCCTTAGGTAAGGGTGACATCACTTGTCCTTCTCACAGGATCCTGCTAAAATTGAGGATCCTGAATCCCATGAAAATGTGCTCCTGCTTTAGC